ATAATACCTAATCATATATCTCTTTTAAACAGTTCTCTCCCTCATCTGTTTCAATGCGGTATACATTACCTAGCCCCTGTTTCTCTGTATTACCTCAACCCTGATGTCAGTCCCGTTTTACAACAGTGGCACTATGCAATATTTGTCCTTCTGTGACTGAGATATTTCACTCAGCATAATGTCCTCCAGGGTAACCCATTTTGTATAATATTTCATGAGGTCCTTGTTTTTCAATGCAGCATAGTATTCCATTAGTATACCAAAGCTTCTCTATCTATTCATTTGTTGATGGGCACTTGGGTTGTTTCCAACTCTTTACTATTGTGAACAACGCCGCAATAAACATGAGTGTGCATAGAACTTCTTTTAAACATCGAAAATGCTTTATTTTCATTCCCCCCCCCCATTGTTGCACATTACCTCCCACCCCTGTCCCACGTCCCTCAGTCCTCACTGCAAGGCATCCCTTGTACCAGATTATTGTCACACATGTAATGCCTAGTCATGTATTCCTTTCAGACAGTTCTTTCCCTTGTCTGATCTAATGCATTTGTCATTATCTATGCACTCTTTTCCCATTCTCACCCTCCATGTCTGCTCTATTTTATAGCAGTGGTGTTATTCAGTGTTCATCCTTTTGTGACTTAACATAATGTTCTCAAGGCTCTCCCATGTTGGGTAATGTTTTACAAGTTCATTGTTTCTTAATGTTGCATAATATTCCATTGTGTGAGTGTACCCTAGTTTTTCTATCCATTCATTTGATGGATACTCATGTTGCTTCCATCTCCTTGCTATTGTGAGCAACACAGCAATAAATATGATGTTCCTACATCTGTTTTGAGTTGTGGCTTTGGTTTCTTTAGCATATATTCCCAGTAGTGGAATTGCAGGATCAAATGGTATGTCTGTTTCTAACTTTTTACGAAAGCTTTTAAGCTTTAAAGTCTTTAAGAAAACTTTTTAAGACCGCCTTCCATAGTGTTTGTACCATTTTGCATTTCCCACCAGCAATGAAGAAAGGTTCTGATCTCTCTCCAACATTTGTTGTTTGCTGGCCTGTTGAACTTTGCTATTGTTCCTGGGGTGAGGTGATATTTCATTGTTGTTTTTATTTACATCTCTTTGAAAGCTGGGGATTTTGAACCATTCTTCATGTATTTGCCATCTGAATGCCTTTTTGGTAATGCATCTATTCATATCCTGTGCCCATTTTGTGATTGGGTTCTTTATATTTATCTTGTTGAGATGCTGGATTATTCTAGAAATTTTATATATAAATCTCTTATCAGATATGTCATTACCAAATCTTTTTTCCCAGTCTGTGGGTTTCCTTCTTACCTTCTTGGAGAAGTTTTTCTCCTTTGCATAGGGATATGATTCTTAAAAGGGCTCATTCATCTATTTTATTCTCTCCTGGTTGTAGGTTTTTCGCTTTGCTTGGAAGTCTGGTTATGCTGTGGGTTAGGGCTTCTAGAGTTCTTCTTAGATTTACTTGGGTGGATTTTACAGCCTTTGGTACGAGGTCTCTGATCCACCTTGAGTTGGTTTTTGTGTATGGTGTGAGGTGTGGAGGATCTTGCATAAGTTTTCTGCAGGTGGTTTTATAATTTTGCCAACACTGTTTGTTAAAGAAACTGGCATTTCCCCACTTAATTGATTTTATCTCCTTGTCAGAGATCAGTTGACCATACGTAGATGAGCTGGTTTCTGGGTTCTCAATTCTATTCCATTAATCCAGGTGTCTGCCATTGTACCAGTACCATCCTGTCTTGACCACCACAGCTGTATAGTAAGATTTGAGATCAGAGAGTGTGATGCCGCCTATCTTGTTTTCTTTTTTAAGTAGTAGTATGATTATTCGAGGCCTTTTTCCATTGTAAATAAAATTGGAAATTGCCCTTTCCATCTTGTTGAAGAATGGAATCGGTATCTGTATTGGGATGGGGTTGAATTTGTAGATTGCCTTTGGTAGAACTGTCATTTTCACAATATTGACTCTTCCTGTCCATGAGCATGGTATAATCCTGTATTTCTCCAGTTCTCTTTTTTGTTTCTTGTATTAATATTTTGTAATTTTCTTTGTCTAGGTCTTTTGTATCTTTAGTTAAAAGTATTCCCAAGTATTTAATCTTGATATTAGTTATTGTAATGGGTTTTTCCTTAGTTCCATTTTTATATCCTCTTTGTTTCTGTAGAGAAATTAAACTGATTTATGTTGATCTTGTACCCTGTTACTTTGCTCAGTTGGTCAACTATGTCCAGTAATTTTCTCACTGGGTCTTTAGGGTTTTCTAAGTATACTATCATATCATCTGCATATAGAGAAAGTTTTACCTCCTGTTTGCCTACCTGTTATTTTGTATACCTATTATTTCCTTGTCTTGCCTTATTACTACTAACTCTAATACTTCCAGTACAATATTCAATAGGAGAGGTGATAGTGGGTATCCTTACCTAGTTCCTGTTCTCAAGGGGAATGCCTTTAATCTGTCTCCATTGAGAACCATGTTGGCTCTTGGTTTTGTGTAAATACTTCTCACTATGTTGAGGAAATACACTCTATTGCTATTTTGTTGAGTGTTTTATACAGGAAGGGCTGTTGGATTTTGTTAAAGGCCTTGTTTGCATCAATTAATAGGATCATGTGGTTCTTGTTCTTTTTTATTGTTGTAGATGTGATGTGAACATTTGTTTATTCCCGTAATTTTTATATCCATAAATGATCATTCAGCTAACCAATATTGATTGCCAGTCATTCTCAGGATGATTGTTGGTTTTTTTATGTACCATTGAATCAGAACTGACTCATAACTGACCCTTCAGTGGGTTTTCAGAGGCTGTAAACTGCCATGGAACCCTTGATGGGTTTGATCTATATGCCTTTGGGTTGGTACTGCAACTCCTTGCCACTGTACCACTAGAGCTGCCTTTCATGATTCTTCGAAGCTGTTAGACACCATCAAGTCAAGTGAAACTCATAGCGACCCTGTGAACAATGGACCTGAACCCTCTCCTATCATGTCCATCCTCATAATTTTTTACATACTTCAGCCCATTGCAGCAGTCACTGTGTCAATCCATCTGGCTGAAAGTCGTCTTCTCCTTCACAGACCTTCTACCTTCCTAAGCATGATGATAGCCTTTATGTTACTTTGGGACTCTCTTACTATGGGGGAATTAAAATATGTCAATTCATTTATGTAAGCAAATATGTTCTGCATTTCTTTATCAGTACTTTGAAGGGAGCTCTGATGGCCTAGTGGAGAAGTATTTGCACTGCCAACTCTAAGGCAGATTATTTGAATTCACCAGCTGTTTCACAGGGAAGATGAACAATCTCCTCTCGTGCGATTTACAGCCTGTAAAAACCTAACGAAGTGTTTACAGAAAAGTTGGATTTTCATTCATTGCTTGTTGAACATCTTCCACCATATCACCCCAATTGACATTATTTTTTAAAAAATATTTATTCATTGTTGCATAATTCCCTCCTCCTCCATCCAGTCTGCTTTTCAGTGTTCCTCTTATTCTGGACTGTTGTCACACAAATAATACCTGATCATCTATTCCTTCTAAACAGTTCTTTCCTTCATCTGTTGCAATGCAGTGTTCATTATTTATCCCCTCTTTTCTTAGTTTCCGCCCCAACTCCCATGTCAGTCCTGTTTTACAACAGTGATGCTATGCAGTACTTCTCCTTTTGTGACTGAGATATTTCATGCAGCATAATGTCCTCCAGGGTCACCCATGTTGTATAATGTTTTATGAGATCACAGTTCTTTAGTGCTGTATGTACCATTGTGTATGTACCATAGTTTTCCCTATCCATTTGTTTGTTGATGAGTATAATTACTCTTTTTTTTTGAGAAAACATCTTTATTTTAGAAATTTTGCTAGTACCCAAGTAATTGCACTTTTAATCAAGGTTATGCATAGAAGATAAAAATCATCATTATTAGGTAATCTTTTAATGCAATATGAAAGATACAAACATTCAAAGGGCCCAATTAAAACTTTTAATCCTTCCCAAAAGCAGTTGAAGTTTATATCACTCCTTAATTTAAGCCCTTTTGAGTTTATATTATCCACAAGTAAAACACCAGGTGATAAACTTCTCAAAAGTATATAATTACTGTTAAATGTGTTTTCATGTTTAAGACCCATATATTTTTTGATGGTTGAGTTGTTAAGAAAATCATTCCTATGAAAATGGAAAGAGTTCTAATTGTATAATGAAGGAGTGCTCTGTCAACTCAGAGGCATACTTTTTTTTTATTTTTAGATTTTAATGAAATTTTTTATAGAACTTGGATTTCCATTCATTCATCATTGCACGTTTTCCTTCCTGTCCCCTCTCCCCCGAGTTATCTTTTTTCTTTGGAAAAAAGTTTTTTTCATTGATATACAGGTTCTCCCCCAAGTCCACTTTATTGTGCAACTCTTATTCTGGACTCTTGTCATGCCAATAATACCTAATTGTGTATTCCTTTAATACAGTTCTCTCCCTTGTCTGTTTCAATACCACATACATTATTTATCCCCTGTAGAGGCATGCTTTTTTAATTCACTAGCTGTTCTGTGAGAGAAAAGTGGACAGTTTTCTCTCATGGGGAT